AACTCCCTTAGTTCATTTTACCGAAACTTCTTGCTTAGAAAATTTTGATTTAATTTGTCGTTATCTGGATAGTTGAATCCATAAAGTCGGGGTGTTTAACCAATTGCTTTAGAGGGACAACTTAACATTATAATCACTTTTATCAAGTTAACTGAAGGGTTCATCTCATCACAAAGTCTTTGACCGGAAAATAGCAGTGGAGCAAACACCGAATTGCCAAGTGTTTAAGCAATGTCATGGTTTGAATGTAATCTATTCATAAGGCCAGGGCTTTCAAGTTTCCTCTATAACCAATTGCCTTAGTGGAATAGCTCAGCTTTACGGATTTAATTTCTTAAGATTGTCAAGAAGAATCTGTTATAGTCTAGGTGTTTGTTGAAAGTCAAAAAATTCATCTTTAGAGTTCAATTTTCAAGCAACTGACCTAAACTAGATTCACTTACTCGACTATTCCATCTGTAAAGATCATTGAACGTCTTAAACAAAAAGTATAGTAATGTCATATGCAAAAGATGCCCCATGTTGCCCGCACCTATGCACACCTAAATGTCAAGCCTCTTTTTCTTTCCCTTATGAGAGGAGAAGGCTATACTGGTTATTTGCGAGAGAAAGGTACGTGTTTGAGCGTATCTTTTGGGTAAGGTCAAAGTTCTTATTTTACCACTTTTGAATTCATGTTAATTTATCAAATATCTTTAATCCAACTAAGATTCAAAGAATTTCAAGTTGTAAATTTGATTCAATACTCAACATAAATTCATTGAAATATCCAAAGAAAGTTCAAAAACAAGTTCCAAATATGAGAAAGTTCAAAAAACAAATTCAAACAAGATGCCTCAAATGATGAAGTGATCTGCCTTACTTGGATGCCCCGGAGTTGTTGAAGTCGATCCAATTCTTGTTATGTATTTTCTGTACGATTCTCTTGAATATGGAGTAGTTCTTGATAGTGCGCCCTGGGACACCGCTATGATATTCGCAATGAGCGCTCTCATCATACTACCTGGGGTACAGGGGTTTCATGGATTTCTCTGGATATGGTGACACCATATGTGCGTCAAACAACTGTTGGTAAAGCTCCTTATATGTCATAGGATCGAAATGTTCTCATTTTTTATTAGACATATGAATGTAAGAAAAGTAATGCGAAATATACAGAAATGCATGATGCATGCAATGTTCGAGGCATTGATCCTAAAAAATGTGTCTGTTATTAGAAATAATCCTTATTGGGGACAAAAGTGTTTTATCTTTTAAGAGAAAAAATATCCTGACACCTTCTGATATGTTGACTAGTCTTCTGCCTTCGTCTGTCACCGGTTGAATAACCTGTCGAACCGCTCCAGCTTCTCTGGATGAACCGTGCAAATGTTGAGTTGCTTTTTTGTACTGGCCCAAGAAGTGTCGAATGACTGCATCTTTGGCATTTATCTTCTGTTGAACCTTTTCCCAACGAATATGTCATTGGAGCCCTCAATTGATAGTAAATATGTGAAGTTCATTCGTCTGTTTCTTGAATTAGTCAGCAATGGTCTCCAATTTCAGCTATCGTTTTTCCATTGTTGTCTTTGAAGGCACTCCCAAGATCAGTAACCTTCATCTTACCCCTACAACCTCTGCCAGTCAGTTCTTCAAATATAGACTTTCATTGTGTTTGATGTAGACCCGGTTCATTCTGAGTCCTTTATAATGCAGCATAGTGATAAACTCTTCAATTGTGGGTACCATATCTTCTGGATTGAATGTGACACATAGTCGTCTTGTAGACTGTCCTCTGCATTTTCATCTCTTGTATTACAACCCCTTTGTCCATTAATGCAGATTATTCATGTTTAACAAACACGTTTTTTGTGGATCAACACTTTTTTGAATGATGTAAATGATGAAATATGAAAAAAGAACAAAAATGAAGGGAAAAAGTTAGTGAGACAAGGATAATAAAATAAAAACAAATGATGAAAATGAAAAGTCTTACCCCACATGATATCTACCCAACATGCTTAATATTCCTACCTGGACATTATCTCTATCTCGCATGTTAATTTTGAACTAGTCCTAACCGCATACATTTCTAGTTCAAATGCTTTGAACAGAAAATAAAGCATGAAACAAAGCAGCCTAGGGTTTACAATGAGATTTTGGGGTGGGCTCTAATTCCCTGTAGTCTCCCGATTTAGGTTCTAAAAAAGGTACTCGAGTTCTCCTTGCCGATGCCCCATTGGGCTTGCTAGACCCTTAGTCTTAAGCCCATTACAAGCTTGTGTGGACTAAGTTAAACTCGAGATGATACATTCCCTTATGCCTATACGGAGAAAAAATTCACACGAAGACATAAGGTATATGAATCCCGAAGGTTACTTGCTAGGCCCATACGGAGAATAAATTCCCACAAAGGCATCGCTTTCACCCCCACTTAAAAGGGTTTGGAGCTCGGGTATAGAGCCAAAGATGAAAGTTTTTCAAATCTGAAATCATTGAAAGAAAACATCAGTATAACTATTTATTTGAAAAATAATCAAGGAAAAATAATTGGAATCGAATAAATAAATTAAAATTTACCATTTTCGAATAAAAAGACAACCGAAAATTAATTTCGGCCTGACTCACTTACCTGTCCCCAACGGAGTCATCAAGATGTCGTGGTCGTCTTTCGGTTGGGCTTGGAATTAGGCTTCGACTTGTATGAAATGATTTGGAGTCGTCACCGATCATTTTAAAACGAAATTTATGTGGATCGGACATCATCTTACCTGATATGTGTTTTACCATAAATGTGTCAAGTTCGGAAGTCGATTACAGTCAATGAAGGATTAGCTCCCTTGAACCGCCCTTTCGGTACCAATTAATTTGTTGGTTGTCTTTAATTGAGAAAATTAAAAATTTAAATTGAAATTTAAAAACCCGATTTAAATTACTTACCTTTGATTGGTTGAAATTCTTTTAAAAAAATCAAAAAGAATGTTAGATTATAAGAATAAAAATAAATAAATAAATACGAAGACTTTTAACAGTTCGGTTCCATTGTCCCCACGCCAACTTACTATTATCGCACAGGTAGTATAAAAGAATACCTTAGTTAAAGAACTCCATAAAATGATTTCGATAAATTACGGATATCTACACCAGTGATGGATCTAGAAATTAAAAAATGGGAGTCCAAAATTTTAATACCCTATTCGAAAAAAAATTAGGTATGCAAATTTTCTTATTTTTTTCTATTCCTATTAATAAATTAAACTAAATTTAATATTTTATCAAAATAATGGCCGTGTAATAGATTATAAAGAGCCATTTACATCCGCCCTAGTACACCGTTCATTTTCGCGGAAGAAAAGCCGAAAATTGAAGAACTTTTGCAACTTATTACGAACCTACAACAACGTTTCACGCTGGACATTCCAATACAAATGCTAGACTTCATAATTAATCTTTTTTCTCTAAATTCAATAATAAATTCAATAACAAAGATGTCTAAAGGTATATTATAAATAAATGTAAATAAAATACAATAATAGACTAAAAATGCTTTAAAAATTGAATCTGAAAATGAACACTTACAGTTGAATGCTTTATGGATTCATAGATTTAGAGATTTTGAAATCAAAGGCCTTCGGCATTCCTTGCTCTTTATAAAATACTGCCATGCAAGCAGCAAGATCTGTGCCATCTCCTTTTTATTTAAGTTTTTTCTTCAGTGTATGATTTGATTCAGAGACTGGAAACCGAAACTCGTGTTGCTGGTGGTCCCTCATTAATCCAATGAAGGTGCCTCTGTCGCACCTCCTCATCGATACCTCCACATATCCAGCCGTGTTTTGCGTGTTCATCGACGACCGCCCCAAGTCAAGCATCACCAAAGACGACGCGTCCAATAAAATCAAGTCCGAAAACATAACCATCACCAAGGTGATCAAGCTGTCAAAGCTCAAGACTGATTTTCAGCCCTTCGAGGCCGAAGAAAGCTCTTCGATTCATACGACCTGTTCTTCGTTGACAAGAGGATCGTTCCCTTCTGTCTCCGTTACTGGGGAAACAATTTTTCAAGAAGAAGAAGATCCCAGTGCCCGTGTATCTTAAGCACAAAAACTGGAAGGACCAGATTTAGAAGGCTTGTTCCTCTGCTATGCTCTTCTTGGGTAGTGGGACTTGCTGCGTGGTGAAGGTGACTAAGCTTTCGCTGGGAAAGGAGCCCCTCTTGTTGAAAATGTGGTAGCTTCTATTAATGGTGTGTTCCCCCTTTGAATGTCAATCTAAAGTTGAAATAAATAGCCCTGCCTCTAGGTTCCCACTTTCCTTTTTGAGAGAAAAAGAAGGAAATATATGTGGTGGCTTTTTATATTGGAAATGGGGCCTGTAAAAAAATAATTATAATATATAAAATAATAACAATAATAATAAAAATAAAAATAGTATAATAATAATATAATATAATATTTTTATAGACCCATATAAAAATGGGTGTCTATATTAATATAATAATCGACAAATTTAGGTATCATATGAATAAAATTAAAAACATGTAAATTGTTTATTATGATGCCAAAATATACAAAAACACGTAACATTATATACTATTTTGAAGAAAAAAATAATATATTAAAATATAAATATAAAAGTAAATAAGATACCAATTTTTTTTTAAATATTTACCTTGAAAAATACGTATACGATTGAGAAAATATAATCTATTACGTATTTTTCGCATTTATTATGTATTTATTAATTGCTTTCGTACCCTATCCGAAAATAACATCGTCTTGTCACGCGTAAGAAGAACGTAGTTTGTCATGTAACGTAGAAAAGAAAGAACATTGCAACTACATGCAAGATAATTAAAGGAAAAATTGTAGAAATATTTTGAAATTGACACCTTATTATTTATATATATTTATAAATACTCTAAAATATAAAAAAAATAATAAAAAATTCTACAGTTTTTGTCTGTAGATCCGAAATTCTACCGGGGTGCACATGAAGAGAGCAGGATCCAATACAGGTAATTCCAACAATGCCCCTAAACCATAGAGTTTTTTACATCACGGAACAAGCATTAGGGTTCTCATCACTGAAAATTTGCGGAGGGTATGCGTAGGACTCAGTAGCATACCTCGGCGGGTAATAACAAAATTCATTCTTCTTCACTTCCACCGCCACTTCGCTCTCTTCCGCCGCCGCTGCTGCCTCGGTGGAAGTGGCGACGTCGGCTTCTTTGCTGTCACCACCACCTTCTTGTTTCTTGTCTTTGTTATTGTTGTCTTCTTCTTCTCCACCACCGCCTTCCTTCTTGTCTTTATCGGCACCACTTTCTTCACATTTCTTCTCGTCTTTGCTGTCATCTTTGGCCTTTTCTTCTCCTTCCGTCTTAGGCGCTTCCGCCTCTTGTTTCACTATCACCGCCTTCTTCCCGGTTCTCCTGTAGACGTACTCCACCAGTTTTGGCGGCTCAAACACTCCCTTCACCGTCACTTCTGAACTCTTTAGATCCGGTTCAGCTGATTCCACCCCTACAACAACATGGCTTTTTTATTGAGTTTTGGCGTGGGGTTAGTGAGATTTGATTCAAAAGCAGTAAACTTTGACTGCATTTCAACGGAATCTTAGTGAATTATAAAACAATAAAGAAAACAAAAGAACCTTTCATTCTCTGAATACGTTTCTTGATTCCCAATGCACAAGCTTCACAATGCATGTAAACTTTCATCACCACCGTGACCACCGCCGGAGGCTGCAAAAACCAAAACTTTATCAGACTAAGAAATGTTGAAAAAAATGAAACCTTCAAGTGTTTGAAGAGGCTGAAAAAACAAAACCTCTTCCTTCTTGTCTTCAGGCTTGGAGTTTTCTTTATCCTCTGTTTTAGTCTCCTCCGGTGGCTCTTCCTTTGAAGTCTGTCGAGAACTTTGAAAGGATCCGCTTTCTCTCCTTTCACCACCACTTTATTGGTCTTGCAATCCGTCATTACATCTTCAACCCCTACAAAATCCCATTAATCATTTCCTTTCATCTGATCAACGAAACCAAAGCTGGTATTTACCTGGAAATCCGTTGAGACATCGACGAACTTTACGAGCACAGCCTTCACAATGCATGTAAACTTTCAGGATAATCTCTTGAGGAACAGTTGGGTTCTTTGCCTTTCTTTTCCTCCTCCACTTTCTTTCCTTCTTCAACCTGTTTCTCTTCCACTTCCTTCCCCTCCACTGCTTTCTGTTTCTCTTCCTGTAAATAAAAAAGAAGGCCGGAATCAAGCAAACTGCATAGAAAACCAGAAGAAAAAGAATACGAGCTTCAAGTGTTGAAGATAACCTCTCCCATTGGATTGGTGAAACTGGGTTTGTTTTTTCAAGTATGGGAGTTTAGTTCAGAAGAGAGCATCTAAGATCTGATGGTAGTGGAGAAGAGGAGGGGGGTTTTATTTATCTCATACTCATCTGTTTCATTCATGGCTCATGATGACATGACGTGGCATTTTGTAAGGGGGCACGTGCATTGGATGAAGGATGAGGCTCGCTGGTTGACTGCCTTTATACACATCTTACTGGCTACTGCTATAATGGTATACTTTGGGAGAATCATTTTTACTATTTTCGAGAGGTATTAAATTAAAGATTTTTTACGATAGTTTGTGTTTCCGTTTTATATATTTTTATTAACTGATTTTAAAATATTATATATGATTATATTTATTTTTATTTAATTAAGATATAAATTTTTTTGTTTTTATTTGATTAAGACATAGTTATTACGGGTTAATTATTGTTAACTAGGTAGCGTGGTATTATGGTATACATATTTGGTACTTATTATTTCATATTCTCTCAATTTAGTTCTACTTCTAATAAATTAAAATAAATTGAATCTTCCAATAGAATGATGTCATGTGTCATCGGTACCATGTGTCATTATTCGATTGGAGGACTAAATTTATTTTAATTTGACATGTTTATTTTTATTTATTCGGTTGGTGGAAAATAAATATATTAAATTAAAATAAAGTTAGTCCTCCAATCGAATTGTGACATGTGGTACTAGTAACATGTGATATCATTCGATTGGAGAATTAAATTTATTTTAATTTATTAAAAGTATGATTAAATTGAAAAAATATATAAAAACATAGACCAAATGTGTGATTATACTAAAATATTTAATGGTAATTAACTCGTGGTAACTACATTTTAACTAAATAAAAATGAAAATGATTGTATATTATATTTTTAAAAATCAATAAAAAAAATTGTACAAAACACAATAATTAACCCTTAAATTAATATTACAGACATTTAAGTTTTATTAAATGTTTCAATAAGTGTTTTATGTTTGAGCACCAGCAATTGTAAGATATTTTAATGTTTGTTGTTAAATAGGTAAGAGTCTTTAGAGCATATATTATCACTTGAATTTTTTAATATAATATAATATAATAATAAATTTTAACGTTTGAAATAATAATAATAAATATTTATAAAATTGAAGTATTTAATTACGTAGATTATATAAACTCTTTCCATAAATACAAGCCAATCCTAAGTTTTAATTAGGATTTTCTAACTTTGAATATTGTTCTCTCACAATAGCCGTTCGATTGGGCTATTTTTTTCATTACGTGGCATCCATGCAGTTTACCAGATCATTATATTAGTCACCACAAATAAAGGGAAATATTTGTAATAAAACTATATCATTTAATATGTTGATAATGTGTATTTGTTAAAATTGATATTATATTGAAAACAAACATTGTGGACAAAGGTTGAAGTGAAGAGTTCTGCTATGCGAGGGAGAGAAAAGGAGGAGCTACAAATGGACAATCCAAGGGAATGAATGAGCAACAGAAAGCTGCCAACCAACAGAAATCCAAGGGAATCGTAGGAGCTCAAGGGAGAGAAGGATTTTATGCGTTTCTAAAATGTACTGCGTTTTTCATGAAATTGCATAAAATTTTTCTCTCTTTCTATTTTCTTCAACCTTCCTTTCTCTCTATTCTTCTTTGGTTCATAACATTTTGTGCTTTCGTTGAGAGTCATGGTGAACAACGCTGATGCTATTAAGACACTGCAAGATACCACTTCTCTCCATGAAAAACTCTTGACCTCACTCCAGTTTAGTGCCGAGGAACAAAAACAAATTATGGAAAGCAATCAAGAAGCGGACTCTTCAGGATTTAGTGAGACAGATGGCTGTGTTGACCTCGCTAATTGGACAGTCGTTTAAATCGCACGAGGCAGATGGAATGGGTGAGATATTGTTGAATAATGGTAAGGTTAAGGTTAAGGAGGAAGTAGATGGCGTTTTTCCTTTTCCGCCTAGACCAGTTTATGTGAAGCTTCCTTTGTTTACTGGTAAGGATCTTGAGGAATAGGTTGCTTCTGCTCAAGATTTCTTTGATTTCTACGGCACTGATGATCATCATCCGGTAACTATGGCATCTTTTCGAATGGATGGTATGGCAAAAAAATGGTTTTAGTGGATGCAACGACGATGTCAGCTAGCCGGATGGGACCATCTCGATGAAGCCATAAAGAAAAGATTTGCAGTGACGGAAATTGAATCACCGGAAGGACAATTGACTAAATTGGTACAATTAACTACTATGGAGGATTATCAAACCAAGTTTGAGGAGATGGCGTTGAGAACAAATAACCTTTCTGAAATGTTTTTGAAGCATTTCTTTATATATGGGCTTCGATCTGACATTAATTACTTCGTTTGCCCACATCAATGCATGAAGTTCTCTCTTTTGCTCGACTACAAGAAGATAAAATTCTTGATACCTATTCTATATGTTTTATTTATGCACTATTGGAATACAGTGAGCTCCCTAACTCACTCTCCCAAACTTTTCTCTTTCAGATACATTTTGATAGGTGACCTAAACCTGATACTTGAAGGACATTCGTACAATATTATTTTGTTATAATGTTTTTATCTTCCGATTTGTCATTATATTAGGTGACATGTGCCTATTTATTTTGAAATAATTGTCTTGCGACGTATATTACTTTTACGAATGATGTTAGAATTACATCGATTCTAATTTGTGAAAGATTTTATTTTACTCAGACATTTATAGTTTTATATATTACTCGAATCATAACTTATTATTAATAACTATATTTTTAAAAGGTGTTTATTCGTAATATGAATTTAAATCATTAAAAATGTTTAGAAAAATTTTATCGTAATCCGCTAGACCTGATCGTAACGCATAGGTCGGGTCTAAGAGGTTACATATTGTGTTTTTCATGAAATTGCTTATGAATTTTATATCTTTCTATTTTCTACAACCTTCCTTTCTCTCTATTCTTCTTTGATAATTTTTAATTTAAGTTAAATAATAATTAAATATATTGGTCATACTTGTATGTACTGTGTGAATTAAATTAATAATATCTGTACGGATGTAATTGTAAGTTAAGTATTTTATTACAAAATAATTGTAGTGTACGTATTGTGAAGGAGTAGATGTTAGACTAGGTTTGTTCGTTAAAACATTAATAACGTTTTGGAATAATTGAGTCAAGGTTTGGCCAATAACAAGTTATCAAGTTAAATGCCTCGAATTTGGTTTACTATTGTTTTCGGTTAAATAGTATTCTAGTCCTAAAGTTATATATTTTAGGCAAACAAAGGTCCCTCTAATCAACGTGATCCTCAAACTCATAAAATAAGTATAATATGGCATTTTGATCAACGTGGTCCTCCAACTCATAAAATAACCTTAATGTGACCTTTTGATCAACGTTTTTTCGTCATTGATCATTACGGTGCTAATGTAGCAGTTCACGATGGTGACATGCAGTCCAAGATAACAAATTAATATGGTGGATGACATGACAGACTAACTAAATTGGTAACTCAAACATGGCAGATGGACTGTCATTTCAGTAACCTGGATCGCCACGTCAACACCGTAAATCGGCAGGCTAATATTGTAATGGTCAACGATGAAAAATATTATTTAAAGGGTCACATTGGGTTGGTTTTCTAATTTGAAGGGTTACATTGAGAGAAAAATAATACGATGACCACATTACATTTTTTTCAAAAGTACAAGGACCTCTTATGTCTTTTTACCTATATTTTATTATCATTTTGATATCTGATGGCTAAATATTATATTTTTTTCAAAATCTAAGTATTCGGAGTTTCTAAGTTTCTAACAAACATCGAATACCTACTTCGACCATTTTGTTTCACTCCTTTTTATGGTATTGTTGATTAGGATAAATTATTTATTTGGTACCTCATATATTATATTTCTGTTTTGGTTACTTAATTATTACTTTTTTACAGTTATATTTAACGTTGCATCTTATTTTTATTTCGGTATCCCACCGTGAAACAATTAACTTTATGCTTGATTAAGATAAATTATTGAACCAGAAAGTGATGATATATTAAGAAGATTGTAGAGGGAATCGCTTGAAAGAAGTAACAATTCAAGTGTGATTATTGAAAGTTTAGAAACCGGTATCAACCACCCATTCTATTCCATTCTAAGGAGCGACGGACGCAAGAATTTATGGGATGTGAACTTAAGAAGTTATATTAAAAATTACATGAGATGTGAAATTAGATAATTAATAAAAAAATTAGATCCGAGATCAAATTCGATTACTGAGAAAATAAGCAAATGTTTAATAAAAATATGTATGCTATCATTCGAATATGAATTAAATCTTATAACAATAATGATTGAACACCAAACCTAACTGCAATGTGCCACGAAGCAGTTAGGTGATCATAAAGGAAAAGCTCAACACTTGAAACCAAAGCAATCGTCCATTTCTTGTTCCCCAATCAAATATGATAATGGAGATGTGATTACTGTGCCTGCAAGGTGCAAGAAAAAAGGGTAAATGTCTATTTTAGATTTCAGGTCTGAGCAATGAAATTCCCCGCAAGAAAACTACTGCCTGCGCTTATTTTCATCCTCTCATGCTTTTCCGTCCTTAGACTTCTCAAACTTGCAATTACTTATTCCGATACTTGGTCTCGAACCGCTGCTTTGTCGTCATCGCTTGGACGGGAGTGTTCGTCGCCTTCCGAATGCAGTAAGATCCGGTTGAATGCAGCCAATGAGACCCTTCTCACCCCGAAGGAGTTGATGCTTGTTTCGAATCTCATTACCAGTAAAGCACCTTGTAACCTACTTGTTTTCGGCCTTCAATCGCAGTACCTGGATCTCGCATCGATGAATGCCGGAGGGATCACTCTTTTTCTCGAGGATGATCTTTACAGGATAAGCAAAATTAAATCCGATTCTAACCGGACTCGGATTTATAAGGTGAAGTACCAAGTGCCTGCTAAGAAGGCATACAAGCTACTCAAACATGCCAGGGGAAATCCAGCTTGCAACCCAAGCATAAATCTGTTGCAACAATCAAGTTGCAAACTGGCATTGACGGATTTACCAAAACAAGTGTATGAGCTTAAATGGGATGTCGTGGTGGTGGACGGGCCTATCGGGGACACACCGGATGCCCAGGGAAGGATGTCAACTATCTACACTGCAAGCATGTTGGCAAGAGCAGCCGGGAATACGACCAACGTCATGGTGCACGACGTTCACCGGACGATCGAGAAATGGTTTTCTTGGGAATTCCTGTGTGAAGAGAATATGGTTTCTGCTAAGGGGAAGTTATGGAACTTCAGGATCGCCGGTGAATCCAATTCCACAAGCTTTTGCTCTTCCACATGGCTCATATAGAGTAACGCCCTCGTGCAATTACGTAATAATGCCATAGTGTTATGGTGCATTGTTTTGGATTTATCGAGATTCTTAATATTTATAAATATTTATAATTTAATTTATAGTTTCTTTTTTTGAAAATACATAATATATTTATAGTTTGTACATCCAGAAAGATCCTGTTTTGACACTCAAACATACATTATACCTACATGTAGAAATACTCCAGTTACACGTGTTTATAATTTGCAAACGTAAATTGTAAATTATTATATAAGTGTAATATTATAATTTAATGATTATATATACTTCTAAATATGATTATAATAAAATAATAAATCAGGTTGAATAAACATTTATATTTCTGCATTGATTTTCAAACTCGAGACCTCAACTTTATGCAAGAATTAAATACAAATATAAATATATTTATCATAATTGATTTCGAATATCGAATATAAATAAATGTTGAATACAAGGGCTATGACACAAGTATGCAAGAGTTAAATCAGTGTTTTAATTATTGAGTATGATGTGTAAACAAATGAAGGTGATTGTATGAACACAACATCTGCATCTTGAAAGCTTTTAACTATTAACGCAGCTCTGACAGATGGAAGAGCATGCTCATCAATCCCATCCCAAAATGTCTGTTTTTGTGTTGGATAGGGGTGTTCAAAATTCGATTTTAACCGAATTAACCGATCAAATCGAATTAGTTTGGTTAATTCGGTCGGCCACCGAATTAATTCGGTCGGGAAACGGTTAAGGATTTTTTTGAAATTCGGTTAACGGTTAATTTGGTTCGAAATCGGTTAATTAACCGAATTAACCTTTAAATATAATTATATTAAGAGACTCAATCCATTTAAAATCCATTTAAAACTCAAGTCAATATTAATTAATTAAAATAATATCAAAACTAAATGTAAAATGTTTGAATCAAATTAATTAGATATTATTTATAATTAGATACTATTTAAATTAATTGTAAATTGTTTTTTTCAATTAAAAAAATATTAAATTCTAAAATTCTAAAAAAATTTGGTTAATTCGAAAATTAACCGAATTAACCGAAATTTATTCGGTTCGGTTAATATTTTCAAAAAAAAAATCGGTTCGGTTCGGTTAACGGTTAAAGAAAAAAAAATTTGGTTAATTCGAAAATGGTAGTTCGGTCGGTTCGGCCACCGAATGAACACCCCTAGTGTTGGATCCCAGACATGGGTAGTGGGTGGGTTTGGTTTCTGACTAACTAGTTGATTCCAACTGGTTTTCTGTCTTGTTGTGCATGAAATTACTTACCTTTTTGTTTTCATTCATTTGACTTTCTATCAATATCAAGATTCTCAATTTCACTCTCTATCACTCATTAGGGTAAATATTCTTTAACTTTTACTTAAATTCATGTATCGAACACAAACAACAGTATGTTGAAAGTTGAAATATCATGGGCGGCTATACAAATTCAAATGGGGCTGCTAAATTGATTATGTTAGGCAACTTGAAAATGTTGAATTTTGAAGTGGTAAAATCACAAAATTTAACCATTGGACTTTAGGGTATTTATAAGATTAGTCCTTAAGTTTCAACTATAAATACCCTAGCTCATTTAGCTTCAAGATCATCCCAAAGCATTCTAGTTTTCTTCCAATACTAGAGAGAATATTAGAGAGTTTTTTTAGAGTTATTTTCTCCTTTTTATCAAGAGAGAATTATCATTGTTTTCTCCTTGGTTGATTGAGAGAAGTTATAATTCCTATTTTCTCATAGTGAAATTCTTCTATCGTTGCCCGTGGTTTTTACCCTATATTATTTAGGGGTTTTCCACGTAAATTTTGTGTCTTCTTTATCTTCATTTTTATTTTCTCAAATTATCAGTTGCGATTTTGCTCTATCCGATAGCCGTCTTCCGTAACAATTGGTATCAGAGCTAGATTAGAGTGTGTAATATCTGCTTATTGTCTTTGTGGTTGCCACCAAAAGATGGATCCTCCAACATAAGAAAATAAGAAGTTATTACCCATTCTTTGAAGGTTCCAGAGAACTATTCACGATAGTGAAATAGTGGGAGCTATCCATAAAAGAAGCTATGGAAACGAAATTTACTATTGAAAAATTCAATGGGAGAAATTTCTCATTGTGGAAATTGAAGATGAAGGCCATCCTAAGGAAAGACGGGTGTCTAGCGGCTATCAATGAAAGGCCGATGGATTTCACAGATGACATCAAATGGAACGAGATGGACGGGAATGTTATGGCAAACTTTCATCTAGCATTAGCAGATGAAGTATTGTCAAGCATCGAGGAGAAGAAGACAGCTAAGGAGATATGAGATCATCTCACCAAATTGTACGAGGCCACATCGTTGCACAATAAAATTTTCCTTAAGAGGAAATTGTACACTCTCCGTATGCCAGAATCTACTTCAGTGACGGAGCACTTAAATACACTGAACACCTTATTTTCTCATCTTACATCCTTAAGCTGTAAAATAAGAGAACAAGAACGTGTTGAACTTCACTTCAAAGTCTACCGGATTCGTACGATCAACTCATCATTAACTTGACAAACAGTAATGTCACCAGTCTAGTCTTCGATGACGTTGCAGCTGCTGTTCTACAAGAAGAAAATCGGTGCAAGAACAAGGAAGACAGACAAGTAAATCTGCAACAAGCAGAAGCGTTGACAACGATGAGAGGGAGATCAACAGAACGTGGCCAAAGCAGCAGTCACAAACATGGTAGATCAAAGTCGGGAGCAAGAAGAATTTAAAGTGCTACAACTGTGGAAAGAAGGGTCACTTGAAGAAGGATTGTTGGAGTCTAAATAAAAAATCCAATCCACAAGGCAATACCGCAAACACTTCAGATGATGGAGATGCTCTATGCTGTGAAGTGTCAACCACCGTGGAAGACAGAAAAAGATTTGCAGATATATGGCTCATTGATTCGGGATCGACATATCACATGACCTCAAGAAGAGAATGGTTTCATCATTATGAACTTATCTCAGGAAGATCTGTGTATAGTTGCAATGATCATGCCTTAGAGATCGTTGGTGTGGGAACCATCAAATTAAAGATGTATGATGGAACAATTAAAGTTGTTCGAGATGTGCGGCACGTGAGAGGCCTGAAGAAAAATTTATTATCCTACGGATTGTTGGATAATAATGCTAGCAAGATTGAAACACGGAAAGGAATCATGAAGGTGTTCCGTGGAGCGCTTGTAGTGCTGAAAGGTGAAAAGATAGCTGCAAACTTGTATATGCTGAAGGGAGAGACATTGCTAGAAGCAGAAGCCTCTGTTGCCTCATGTAGTTCAGATTCTGCAATGTTATGGCATAAGAAACTTGGACACATGTCAGAACAAGGAATGAAAGTCCTTGTGGAGCAAAAGCTACTTCCAGGCTTAACAAATGTATCACTTACTTTGTGTGAGCATTGCATAACAAGTAAGCAACACCGGTTGAAATTCAACACATCAAATTCTAGAGGCAAAAGTGTTCTAGAATTGGTTCACTCTAACGTCTGGCAAGCACCAGTAACATCCCTAGGTGGAGCAAAATACTTTGTCTCATTTATTGATGACTACTCCAGGAGATGTTGGGTGCACCCTATTAAGAAGAAGTCAAACGTGTTTTCAACTTTCAAAAACTTCAAAGCGCTGGTGGAACTTGATTCTGGAAATAAGATCAAGTGTTTTAGAACAGATAATGGAGGAGAATACACAAGCAAAGAATTTGATGACTTTTGCAGGAAAGAATGCATCAACAGACAGTTCACAATGGCGAACACTCCTAAACAAAATAAAGTGGCAGAGCGGATGAACAGAACCTTGTTAAAAAGAACAAGAGCAATGTTGAGGGATGCAGGCCTAGAAAAATCATTCTGGGTAGAAGCAGTCAATACCGCCTGTTATTTGGTGAATCGAGCTCCATCAACTGCAATAGAGTTGAAGACACCAATAGAGATGTGGACTGGAAAACCAGCTGATTATTCAAACCTTCATATATTTGGAAGTATAGTGTACGTGATGTACAACTCCCAAGAAATTTCAAAGTTGGATCCAAAATCCAGGAAATGCAAATTCTTGGGGTATGCTGATGGAGTAAATGGGTATCGCTTGTGGGATCCCACTGCCCGCAAAGTGATCATTAGTAGAGATGTTATCTTTGTAGAAGATAAACTACAAAGAAAAGATGATGATGATAGCGCTAAAAAGTTAGAGACTACTCAGATACATGTAGAAAAAGAGTTTGAAGAAGGAGATTCTTCTGAAGCAGAACCAGCACATGATGAACAATAACCAGAGAGTTCTGAATCTCCAACAACTCGTCAATCAGATCGTGTGAGAAGACGTCCCAATTGGCACTCAGATTATGTTATAGAAGGTAATATTGCATACTGCCTTTTAACAGAGGATGGTGAGCCATCAACATACTAGGAGGCAATAAACAGCTCAGATGCTTCACTGTTGATGATGGCGATGCAAGAAGAAATTGAAGCCCTTTATAAAAATAATACATGGGACCTTGTGCCACTACCACAAGGAAGGAAGCCAATTGGTAACAAATGGGTCTTCAAAATCAAGCGAAATGGTGACGATCAAGTGGAGAGGTATCGTGCAAGACTGGTGGTCAAAGGATATGCTCAAAAAGAAGGTATTGATTTTAATGAAATCTTTTCTCCTGTGGTTTGACTAACAACAGTTCGAGTAGTCTTGGCAATGTGTGCTACATTGAACTTACATCTAGAGCAGCTAGATGTTAAAACAGTTTTTCTTCATGGAAATCTTGAAAAATAGATTTACATGCTCCAGCCTGAAGGTTTTGAAGAAAAAGAAAAGAAGAACTTGGTTTGCAGGTTGAACAAATCTCTGTACGGTCTAAAGCAGGCGCGAGGTGTTGGTATAAGAGATTTGATTCCTTCATTATGTGCCTTGGATACAACAGACTTAATGTAGACCCTTGTGCTTATTTCAAGAGGTCTGGTGATAACAATTTTGTTATATTACTGTTGTATGTGGATGACATGTTGGTTGCAGGACCCAACAAAGATCATATTGAAGAATTGAAGGCACAACTGGCTAGGGAATTTGAAATGAAGGACTTGGGATCAGTAAACAAGATTCTATGGATGCAAATTCACCGAGATAGAAGTAATAGGAAGATTTGGCTTTCACAAAAGAATTACTTGAAGAAAATCTTGCCACGATTTAGCACGCAAGATTGTAAGCCAATTTCTACCCCTCTTCCTATTAACTTCAAATTATCCTCCAGTATGAGTCATAGCAGTGAAGAAGAGAGGATGATATGTCTCGAGTACCATATGCATCAGCAGTGGGAAGTTTAATGTTCGCTATGATATGCACAAGACCAGACATTGCACAAGCAGTGGGAGTGGTTAGTCGGTACATGGTGAATCCAGGCAAAGAGCATTGGAATACAGTAAAGAGGATCCTGAGATACATCAAAGGAACCTCAAATGTTGCATTATGTTACGGAGGATCAAACTTACTAATAAATGGTTATGTAGATTCTGACTATGCAGGAGATTTGGATAAAAGCAAATCTACTACAGGATATGTGTTCAAAGTTGCTGGTGGAGCTGTAAGCTGGGTTTCAAAATTGTATTCAGTTGTGGCTACGTCCACAACAGAGGCAGAATATGTAGCAGCTACACAAGCCAGTAAAGAAGCAATTTGGTTGAAGATGCTATTGGAGGAGCTTGGGCACAATCAAGAGTATGTCTCTCTGTTTTGTGACAGTCAAAACGCCTTGCATCTAGCAAGGAATCCAACATTTCATTCAAGGACAAAGCACATACGAGTTCAGTACCATTTCATTCGTGAAAAGGTTGAAGAAGGGACAGTAGATATGCAGAAGATTCATACCAAAGACAACATAGCAGATTTCATGACGAAGGCAATCAACGCTGATAAATTTACCTGGTGTCGATCCTCTTGTGGCCTGTCAGAGATGTAAGCAACATGAAGGTACAAGGTAGAAAGAATAGTGTGAAGATATGATTGTTCCAATCAAATCTTCAAGTGGGAGATTGTTGAAAGTCAAAATATCATGGGCGACTATACAAATTCAAATGGGGCTGCTAAATTGATTATGTTAGACAGCTTGAAAATGTTGAATTTTGAAGTGGTAAAATCACAAAATTTAGCCATTGAACTTTAGGGTATTTACAAGATTAGTCCTTAAGTTTCAACTATAAATACCCTAGCTCATTTAGCTTCAAGATCATCCCAAAGCATTCTAGCTTTCTTCCAATACTAGAGAGAATATTAGAGAGTTTTTTTAGAGTTGTTTTCTCCTTTTTATCAAGAGAGAATTATCATCATTTTTATTTTCTCATAGTGAAATTCTTCTACCGTTGCCCGTGGTTTTTACCCTATATTATTTAGGGGTTTTTCACGTAAATTTTGTGTCTTCTTTATCTTCATTTTTATTTTCTCAAATTATCAGTTGCGATTTTGCTCTATCTGATAGTTGTCTTCCGCAACACAGTATGCAATAGGATTTTGCATCCCTAGAAGCTAAAATGGAGTGAAGCTCATTGATTCAAGCTATTCAAAGTAAAGATGTAATTTCTTTTGGGAACTTGTTGCTCTTAGGTTTGGTGTATGATGGATCTTATACTCAACTGAAACCGAACTAAATAAGTAGGCTACGAATATATTATATACGTGTATTAAACATATACTCATATGGGAGAGTAACATATATTCGGGTATGAACCTTTGGGTGCAAGATTGGCAAGTAATCTCCATGCACGTAGAGGTTGCTCTTTCCTTCATTTCTCGGCTCTCTCAGCATCTTCCTTTTCTGTTTGCCACAGGTGGTTAGCTCTAGCGAATTCGGACTGAGCCATCTCCATTTCCCTCTTGGTGAGCTCCCTAAGTCTCTCCGCATAAGCCTTTTCGATAGCAGCCAATCGGATTTGCTCAGCCGCCTGCCATCTCAACCACTGGACGCCACCTTTAGATTTGGATGGACGCCCTTCACTGATTGATAGTTGCAAGTCAAGTGATGAAGCCTCTCCGTATTCATCATTCATTTTGGCCCTATATCTTACAGATGAAGAATCGGAGGTGGCGAGACAAGTGGGGAGTAATTGCATTTCTTTTTTATCTTCGTCTTCCATGGATAACGGGAAGTCAGCTAAAGGGAGGGTGAAAGAAAATCATTCCCTTTTATAAACAAACCCACACTACCTACCCTGATTACCTTACTACCCCGAGCTTATTTTTATAATTGCAATTCTAAGAAAAGTGTTTCAATAGTTAAAGGAAATGTTATGAGATATTAAATTCGAGTCTGTAGAGTGTGTGTTCATTGTACAATGATTAAATCATCGCATAGTATATGGACTGATAAAATAATTTGACCTATTTTTTAAAGTTGAAGCCGGAAAAAAAAAGTGATTTTACGTAAATATGTCTTTTATCTTTATTCAATTGATTAAAATAAATGAATCTTTTAACTAGTTAATTAAATTTGATTTGTTATAAATATTTCTTTTAAAGTTTAATCAAATTGCACAAAGAATGATCTTCCCCGGAAAGCACAATTGTCATCTAGAAAATAGCTGAACATTATTGACATAGCAAGCAGATGCAGAGTCTTGAAGGCAGCCACAAAAACCATCATCGTCCTTCGGAAATGAGTTCGGCAGAGGATGGTCCGGGATCACGCCAACCTACATGGAATAACAGATGAAATGACGATCATGCGAATAGAGGAAAGAGAGACCTAGAGATCAGACATAAACCTTGTCAATGTCGTTGTGTGCAGGTGTCTCGTAACGAGCTACTGTAACAGCCAATCCGGAGCCATCAGATAGCTGAAAAACTGACTGAATCTTACTGCAGTCGTAGAATGCATCACTCTGGTTAGTAGCTAGAAGAATATAGGATTGGTATACTTGTTTAAACACTGAAAAAGATAAAACAGTAAATTACCCTTTCCCATATGTCGGTTCTCCGAACAATACAGCACGCTTATTATCTTTCAATGCGCCCGCTAAAATTTCACTCGCACTCGCGGTGCCCTTGTTCACCTAATGGGGATTCAGATGATGGAGATCATGATCCTTCCTCTCTCACTTGTTCACACATACATAAACTAAATCAAGCTTGACGGAAAAACCGAGCTTACCAGGACAGCTAGGGGTTCAGAAGCTGCTATTGCAGAGCTTCCATCCGTATCATATATATCTCGAACACCACGATTATCACAAATGTACACAATCACGCCTTTGTCTAACCTGTTCCGTAAAAGCTAATGATGATAACATGTGCCATGTATAAAAGAACCGTTCCATTTCAAGGGTTTAACTTACCAAATCTTTGCAGTTTCAATGCCTTCTGGGAAAAGCCCACCGCTGAGGCAAATTTAATCTTTTAGAAAGCCTGTCTAAAGAGCAAGTTTAAAACGGATCATGTCGAAAGCAAATTACCTATTATCACGAAGGTCTAATACAAAGGCATTAACGCTATTACTCCTTAAAGTATCAATCGCTTCCTTGACAGCAGCTACAGGAAATGCAAACTCTTTAGGATGATATTCTATATATAAACTAAAGGAAAGGAGGGTTATCTCCGAGAACTCCTCCGAAAGAAGCTAATGACGCTGAAAAGAGGTACAACCAAACCAGAAAAAGGTGAACAAGAAAACAAAGAATATAAAGAAATGAAAGGAGGTTGTGTGCACAAAGAGACGAATTCAGAAGTATATCGTGTTTATGAAATAAAAAACTATACCACATACAGTTCCATGGCTTCAGCCCAAATCCTAGACAAAAAGGGGTATTTGCAGTCAATATCTCCACTTACCAGAAGCATTTTGGTTGAATGACGTTAGCTTAATGTACCCGATTTTGGGGTAGCTCTTTTCTGAACCAGGAACCTCGCATAGCCTTGACTTTACAGGATTCAGTGAAACTTTCGCTCGCCTAGAAAATTGTAGTCGCCGATGGGTCAATCTTAAATCTTTAAAGAAATAGGTACAAAAAATTAACCATGTAAAATATTTTTTCCTTCTTTAATTACAAGGAGCACAAGGTGATAACTAAGAATAAAAATGACAAAATCCATATTCCCATATTCTAGCTCATTCAATTTGGAAAGAATAATAATGAAACTGATACACATGTTCGGATGCTGAATCAATTAACATCAGTATAATTTCAGATATAGTTATTGATATATCGAGTTCATATGCATCATAAGATATTCAAATGAATCATAAGATATTCAAATGAAATACTTACTTGAGAGCTAAGTGCTTTATTTCAGGCCCAGTTTGAATTGTTAATTCCACTGAACTTCCTTCTGGTCCCCTGTAGTTTAGTCAAGAAGTAGAGCACAATAGTAAATAACTGAAAAGCAACCGACAAATCAAGACACACATACATACAAAGAAAATTGAAGGAAATATCTCTATTACAGCTGAATAAATATTTCTTCAATACGAAAATATAGATGAAAGCTGATAAGGTTTCAACCGAAGCGTGTAACATGCTTACTGCAATCTCTCTGCAGCATCATAGATGCCCATGCTTTCCGTGCTTGTATTATCTATTTGCAAGATAATATCCCCAGATGAAATGCCAGCCTGATTTGCAGGTCCCCCAGGAGCAGCTGAAATAACAACGAGCCCAGCTCGAGATCCTTCAGATCCAGTTGGGTAACCTATTGATAGCCCTACACCTGTTAGAGACCCTTGAGTTCCAGACTGCCTTCAGAGAAATATAAGAAATTTTACAGAAACTGATTTCAACCAAATATTTCTGGTGGAAAAAAGAACAATATTTCAATGTTGAATAATTATTCAGGCTAGAATACAATTAGTGAAGATATAAGAGAGAGAGAGAGAGAGAAAAAACAGCCCCATACCCGCAAACTCTTGAACTTCTCCGGCTCTAGAAACCTAGTGAAAGGATCATTCAGTGTGGCAAGCATCTTCCTTATGGCCGTGTCTGCAAGAAAATATGTAAATAGAACTTAAAAGTGAGGATAATGATTACAAACGCAACAAGAAGATGAACATAATATCTCTTAATGCAACAATTATAATATTGAATGAATCATCAGGTCAACATTTATGAACTTAATAAAATAAAAAGGACTCGGCAATTCACACAAAATGATGCATATTAGTCTGTTTGCAGTCCGTTTCTTTGTATGCATGCTAATCTAGTTGCAGCAAACTACAAACTGTAAGATGACTGCATACATGTCTCTTCTTTATTGTTCATTGGTTCATTTCGAAGAGCATCTTCTCTGTAACGAAACCAACTTTGTCCATTGAAAGTTTTGTCAATATGCACGGTCTATTGTTCTCCATGCCTCTAAGAAGAGAAGATTTTCCTCGGAAAGCGCCCCTGTACAATAAAAACGAATTGGTATGAAAAATCTAAACAAAAGAAACCCTTGTAGCACTAGACTATTTTACATAAAATAGAACTTACACGACTGTGGGCTGCTTAGAGCAACGGAAGCTGAAGTAACCAGCAACATAGCAGCGACTAAGCGAACAAAAACAACAGAGATATGTTGTCTGACTTTTTGTGAATGGCTCGTCACCTTTTGATGACTACCCGTCTTCCAGGATTGAAGTGGGTGTCCATGCCTCAATGCAAAGAAACCAGACTGAGATGGAAAACTTTTGTTCAGTCTACCTAATGTGCAAAACCAGAACTCAGGTTTAGAATGCGCATCAGAACTGATGCATCTTCGAGACTCGTCAAGATTAGTCCTTTTATACGAGATCCGACACAATAATCGAGCTTCAATGTTCCGTCCAGGAAAAGAATTCCTTGGATGAACCTGTAAGTAATTCACACATCCATTCAAAAGATTCAGTTTGAGAGGAATAATAAAGTTCCAGGCTAACATTTGATGAAAAATAAAAGGCCGTTCATAGTTTATACTTTATGCATCTCCATTGCCGAAACTTCACACTGATGATCATGTGATCAGAAATCTTTCCAAGCAACACAATTCATGAAAACATAAACTGCCAATAAAAAAATGCAATCGAGGCCCATTAAAGAGGGGGAAAACCAGTTTTAAATCAATCCAAACTACCAAAACAGCCACCGAATCAAATTCAAAACTTGCAGACCGAGTCTTAGCTCGGTTGCCAATAGCAACGTTGCCACTAGAACACCGTAGGTTCGAACAGTTCAAGTCATAATCTTTCCAAATCAGAACCCCGTTTTTCATTCTGTAATCTCTAAATTATGATAAAAACATTCAATCATTAATCCTACATAAGAAACCATCAATTGGATAGTCGTCGTGAAGATGAAAACTTTACCGGAGAAATGATGATGGACTTGAATGTGAAAGAAGATGGCTTATTGGGGTTATATAGAGCGAAACGAGGATACGCAGAATTAGCAGAGGAGCTTGTTAGCACTTCCATGGTAGCCCCACAAATTCCACTCCCTTTCTACGCTTTTCATTTCGGTTTCCTTATCGATTATTCTTTGAAGATAACACTTGGTCTTTGTTTTTCTTGGTTAAATTATTTCATTAGTCCCTGAATTATGAATATTTAATTAATTTAGTTTATAAAATTTAAATTTTGAAAATTTCACTTCTAATTTAAACATTACAATGTTTAACTAAATTACAAAGACAAATTATTTAGGATGAATATAAAATTATTAAATTACATAGATAATAATTTTTCTCGGCTTTGACAAGTTTTGATCTAATTTGATTAAAGATTTTTCCCTTAAGTATAAAATAATATTCATTTAAAGGTAACTTTCAACTATTTGATTAACGCTCACATCCCTTTTGTGATGCTCGAACATGAGAATAACAATAATTTATTTACTACAAAGATCGTTTGTTTTGTGCCACAATCCAATAGCATGTAGAAGTCGGGGTACTTCTCGTGTGCACAATATGTATATCATATTTCAATTAATTTTCTAGTATTATAATCGTATAAAACATTATATTATACCGAAAATTATAAAGTTTGATAGTTGATTGCATGAACGAAACTCATGAAACATTCTCAACTTTGAAAATACTAAATTACAACGTTCGTTCGTATACAGTTTCACATAGCAATATGAAGTGAAGCTCAGATTCTGTCTGTACCGACCCATGTTTGATGCATCTTGTAAGATGCAATGGCATATGGATTTTCATCTCTCCAAATACTTGAAAAAGCATATAAAAATTTGATTTTAATAACACCGGACATATACTCGAATCCGAAATTCACCTCGAGTTTTCAGAGTAATCAAAATTCTTCGTCCATACCGATGTTGGACACTACTACGGACACTTGATTCTGCAAATAATATATATATTTTGATAGTATCTGTGTTAAACACTCTCCGAATCCGACACTTTGATCCATCCCGTAAGCTTGGAAACATGAAAAATAAGAGAAGCCGGGATAGATACTACTCACTGTCTTCCTTGAAATTGTTTCTTCTGCTTTCTACGCTGGTCGCGTAAACCTGGAACATCAGATAACAAAAATGTTAACAACATTCTCTTGAAAGTGAGTGCACAAACAGAAATCAAGAAAGAGAATACATACGTTTCTTCTCCTCTTTCCTTTTTCTTCTCAAATTCTCGACATTTCTTCGTTTTTGTGACATGTCTTTTCCATCCATGAGCACCTGAGAAATAGAGAGTTCACTGTTAGGAGTCGAAGCAAAATTGGACCCGATGACATGCTACTATGTTACCGGTTATCATCGTAATTAGTTGGATTCAATCTGGTATCTATCGTGGTTTCAAACATTAGAGAGACATTTCGGGTGCTATATATGATTCAACTTCCCATGTCAAGCACTTGATTCGCATTTTGGTACGGAAATAAATCCAATTCGTAAACAACAAGGTTTTCGGGGAAAAGAACAAAACTAGGCAAGTAAAAGTGAAACTAAAACATTAAATTCACTACCTCACGACCGGCACTCCGAAGTGCCTGTAGTGGTTCGACACAATCTTGACCTATAACCACCATCTTCCGTCTCTTGTTTTCACCCGGAACTAAGTTATCATCTCCCTTTTGCTTAGCCAATTCTTCAAATTGATGCTGTATAAGATGTGTAACACCAGCCTGGAAAAAAATAAACAGAACAGCATAAATTATAAGTTGTCTAATGCAATCAAAATTTCAGGAGAAAATGCACAGAGAAGTCGAATTCTGTCATGAAGCTTTTATGAAAACTTTCTATTGTTAACCAACTAAACGGTGTACATTTTAACAGCAAAACTTGTAAGATCAGAAAGTTACTCGCAAAATTGTGTAGGAAACACAGAACAGAAAAACGAGTAAAATGCCAAAAGAAACTGATAACAGTGCAAAAGAAACTGTTAAGAACTTACTGCAGTTGGATAACGATGTGAAAATGTTTTCGGACGTAGTGGTCGTGAAATTAATCCACCAAGTTCCTGCACAAAAAAAAAAGAAAAGTCAGAATTCAGAGTACAGTAAAATATTTCTCCGGCTCTTAATTTTTTCTCACAAGTACCCATAGATGACACTTATAATTGGCATATTTTCATATATGAGCCTGGGGATATGACCCTTCAAATACATGGGAAAACTTCGAAAAGTTAAAAATAAACGTCTTCGACATATACACCCAAGTCTGAGTTACATAGATTACAATGATTATTCATAGCATGTGAAACACCTGTTGTAACTTCTTCAAGTGAACAGAGCAGGCTTTCTTTTGCTTGAAATTCTTCACTCTTTCCTCCTCGCTGTCATAATTTTCAACTACTAATTCTAAAGACTCTGCACTACGTTCCAACCAGCTTTTATTTGCCCTTTCCTAAAGAAAAGAAAATTAATATTAAGATCGAAAATTAAATGTAAAATTCAAAGAGAACTTTTTTTGGGGGGGGGTGGGGGGTACCCACACGCCGCATTGTAGTGTAGCTTTTAAGATAGCTAAATTATTAAAATTTATATACCTGAGAGTCTTTCCGTGAGATCTTGTCGATTTGGCGTGCTACAGATAAACGTTTCATGACCTCTGGCATGTATGAGCTTTCTAATGGAAATCGTTTGATGCTTTCCTGCATATCAAAGACAATGCGATCATAAAGCATGTAAGTCAAAAATACACTAAGAATCTATTTAATTTAAAGAAGAATCGGGAACTCTTTTCTCCAAATCAGTACCTTAGAAAATGATTTGCAAAGAGAGGCAAACTTTGCAGAATCATTTGGTGAGATAAGAGCAATGCTGCACCCATCAGAGGAAGCTCTAGCAGTTCTTCCACTTCTATGGACATAAACCTAAATCCAAAAAAATTATAATCAAGATTGGGCCACAAGACTAGAAGAATATTAACTAAAACTTGCTGACGGGCATCAAATTTTGACATACTTCTGCCGAATGAGGAAGTTGATAGTGGACAACAGTTCGAACACCAGGAATATCAAGGCCCCTTGCTGCAACATCAGTGGCAACAAGAATTCCATGTTCATTTGCACGAAAACGGTCAATGGCCTGCATCAAAAAGAGAACCGACGTTAGGGGGTAATTTCAAGCAAAAACGATGGGAATAGTAAACGTAGTTATGGAAATGAAACCTTCAAGCGAGCTCGCTGCTGCATCTGAGCATGAAGTGTTGAAACATTGATGCCAAGGATGCGCAATATTGAAGAAATGTGACGCAAAGCTGCAATTGATGTACAAAAAACAATTGTTCTCCTTTCTCCATGAATACTCAAAATGTAATACAGATAGGCATCTTTATCTTCTTCCCTGCATCTGGGAAATTCATGATAAACGAATTATTTTGCTACTTTAAGAAGATACTTCTATAACATAAATGCAGATGTATTATTCTAATTTTCAAATCAGCATCTTTGATCTTTAGTCACAATAAATCAAATGGAATGTAGGTCTATGAGAAAATTAATAATAACAATAATAACAAAATATAGGTAAAGCACTTACTCGATAAAAGATTCCTCAAGGTTCTTTGCTAAAATTGATGCATTTGTCAAATCAACAATAGCAGCATTGGGTTTCATTCCTGCTCGCTCGGATAGAATTTCTATAGAATTCAGCCCCTCTGTGGACTGCTTGGATTTTAATGAACCACGCTTTAGCTTCCTACGAAAATCAGCAGAAAGTGATAAAGTTGCTGAAAACACAAATGTTTGTCTCTTTTTCCTTGATAAGCTTGAAACTGTAACACAATTCTGTGTGTTTTGAGATTGTCCTTCCGTAGCACCTTTGGTCATAGGGAGCATTTCAATTATTGACTGTAACTCACAAAAATGTCCCGCTTCAACCATTCGATCAGCCTCATCCAATACAAAGAAAGATAATGAATGCAACTGCCACAATAAAAAAGAGAGTGAAATGGTGTTCGACTTTAACCAACTCAAATTCCAAAATAAAACACTTGAAACAAAATTCAGTTGCTTTGAACAAAAATCATTTCACTTCTAACCTCAACAAGATGTTTTTCTCCCCCTGAGATAAGCTCCCATAATCTCCCTGGAGTTCCAACAATTATCTCAGGCCTTGTTTTTAATAGCCGTTCTTGCTTCTCTGCGGACATGCCCCCGACAATAGGAACCACTCTAACATTGATATCCTTGCCAAACTCCTTAAGATGATCGGTAACCTGGAGAAAGGAAATAAAAATATTTAAAACTTCAACTTGATTGAGTAAAACAGGAACAGAATAACATCATAGTCATTCTCAAAGCACAATGATTTTTCATCAAATCATGGTTAAGTTTTGCATTTTGATGCTTACAGTTGCAGCAAACACTTAACAAGCTAGGTGCTGCAAATGAGTATATGAAGCTGCTGAAGCCACTATAAATAGAATCCTAAGGGCTGAGGCTTCTGCATAATAAAAGCAGTGGACTGTGAAAATAAGGTAAGGCCTCCACGGTCCACATGTCCAAATTTATAAAGCTCTAACATTCGGCTTTTAATAGACTAAATAAAAAATTGTTTATTCTTATCCAACCATACTGGCAACTGAGACAGCCCTATGGGGTGGAAAAGGCTTGGTGCACTCTGTGCGGGAAACTAAGATACTTAACAAAAGCAACAATAAGACAATTATTAATACCTGGAGAGCAAGTTCCCTAGTAGGAGTAATGATAAGAGCTCGCAAAACACCTTTTGGAGCATACTTTGCTGCTTCCTCCCCCTTCTCCTCGAGCATGTTTGCAGCTTTTTCCCGTTCTTCTAAGAGACGTTGGAAAATGGGCAGGCCAAAGGCTAGTGTTTTCCCAGATCCCGTCTCAGCAGCACCAATAACATCCTATCCCATACAAGAATTACCATCACCATGAAAGAGATATCATTGTTGACCATAAAGCGTTTCAAACAAGAATCTAGACAAACCTTTCCTTGATGAGCTGCAGCAGGAATACAAGCTCTCTGTATTGGAGTAGGTTCCTTGAACCCAATCCGAGATATTGATTTCATAAGCAGAGGGTGAAGTCTCAACTCATTCCATTCATAAAATTC